TCGGCGTCTGTCGGTGTGGCCAGTGCGAAGCGGTGTTGCCGGAGTAAAAATTAGATGCGTAGACACTTTTTTTTATTGTTCATGTTATTATCTTCACATTTATAGTTATTAATATAATACTAAAGATAAAGGATTTTATTATTTTTATTAAAAATTCGATACAAAGTTTCTTTCTCTTGTTGCCCTGTATATTCGCTATTACTCATTCAAATGTATACAATATAACACTTACCTTACAACTTACCAACAAAATGGTATTTAATTTAAGATTTATTCTGGCAAATTGGGAAAAAAATTATATTGATTAGTCTTGGATCGAATTAACAAGCCAGGTAACCAATAAATCTAAAGCAAACTAAGAAATGGATAATATAAAGGAACGCATGAACAACCAAAGTCACAATAAAGTAAAATATTCTCTCAGATTTACAAAATTCACAGACACTGACAATACCATGAGAAATTGAAATTATTTTTTAAACCGCCATCTATTGGCAAGTAGTTACAACACCGCTAATTTGACGCTCAACCTATTATAGGTGGCGCTGCATTCTAAACTTTGGAATTTAGAATATTGTAAAGAATTTACATAGTCCTTGTTTTTATCTCTCAGCCTGAACTGTTTAATATATGTATGTACATAGATTTTGGGTTGGATAAGCAGAATGTTTGGAAAAAAAACTATTTTCATCACAATTTCCTCCTCTAAAACATTGATTATATTCGCACATTAAGTTACAGAGGTCCGAAAACAACTAACATCTATAATATATTGTGTACCTTGAAACTATTGCGATCTGTTTAAGAAAATTATTTAAAAGGTAATATCTAGTGGAGATCCAAACATTGTTATTTGAAATAAACAAACAAGGAAAGGCTTTTTTGTGTGTACACAACCTGCTAATTATAACTATCTTATTACTTTTTATTGAAACGAATAACATTACCTTTCTTTAAGTTCCACACATCTTCCCTTTGTAATTATTTTAGTTTTATCATCAAAGGACAACATTGAAAATGTACTCGTTGTTAATTTCGTTAAACACATATCACCAGTACAGAGCTCACAGCTTAAATTTTGCTTAATTTGTTAATAAATCAGATAATTAACTAAATAAACTTCTGCTTAGAAAGAAAATATTAACAAAATGGCAAAAAACACTTAAGCGACATACCGACAAATTTAATTATCCCTTTTCATTTGACAATCGAATCAGTTTCTATGAAGTTTTAAACGAGTAAGGTTAAGGAAGTAGTGGTGACCGAAAGCAAAGCAGTGCCGAAAATGTTAGTTTTTGCGTTTCCCGTTTCTCATTCAACAATACGTTAATACTATAACGTGTGAAGATTTATCAAAGAAACACTGTTAACGCTCCGTACGTAGTGACGATGTTAAGTAAGATTAAACATAGATTGAGTCCGTTAGGGATTATAATAAGATAATGTAAAAATAAATGGGTTGAAATCGAAGTTAGTGGTTTATAATTATAATGTATTTAGTTATATTATATTATTGGTCGTTTATGAATGTACGTGATTAATTCAATATAGGATACAACCTTTAAAAGTGAGAAGTTTAATATTAATGGGTTAATGAGTAGGAATCGTTGTTAGATATAGGACCGAGTGACATCACAAGTCACATGTAAAATTAATTTTATTATTTATCAAACAAATAAAGTCTTTCTGTTCAAAGTTCATTTAATATTATATAAATCATATTATTTAGCTTTCACAATATCTTTATAATACTTGGCGGAGGCTCTCGGGCGGCGGGTGCGGCCTGGGTCGTTGAAGTCCACCTCGTATAAACCGAATTTGGAACTGAAAAGATTATTATTATTATCAGATTATGAACAGAAGAAAATCCAAAAACACTTTGAAAACAATATCTTTACCGATAGCCATCGCTCCATTCAAAGTTGTCTAACATTGACCAAGCAGTGTACGCGACGACATTGGCCTTATCTTTTTCAATCGCGAGGAGAACCTGGTGGAAGATGTTAGTTAGATTAATAACATACTTGTTTTATTTATCCATCTTGATTTCATTTTTAATATTAATCACCTGTTCCAAATGCTTCTTATGGTAATCTATACGATCTTGATCATCTAAATCCTCGCCGCTGGTTGCGAAACCATTCTCTGTTATAAAGATCTCCATGTTTCCATACTGTTTCTTCAACCAAGACATGATCTTTCGGAAACCTTCCGGGTACACCTGGAACACGAGTTAGTTGCTTTTGTATTGTTTCAATCACCACTTGGCTGTCTACATTACTCTTCAATAAACACGTATGACGTAGGATCAGTTTCCAAAGACAGTGTTCAGCCTCAATGAGTCTTACAACTGTATATAGTAACAACAACACTCACATAGAACCAGCTGGAGCCAGCTTGCGGCCATTGTGGTCTCACTGATATTATTACATCAATGTCTGGTCCACCGAAGAGAGGCCAAGGACCAACAGCTTCCCCTCGGGCGAGGCGAGCAGTTCGTGATGTGTAGTAGTTTAAACCGTACAAGTCATACGTACCCTTGAAAAATTAAATAAAAAAACTTTGAAAGGGTCGCCTATTGCTATTTATATGGCTTTCTTTTAACTTTACTTATAAATTATAATTAGTAAGAGAAAATCTTAGTTTTGGTATTAATTTATGTAACGATTACACTATTTATATTTTATTCTCACCTCTTATTAGTTTTTTTTCTTCTTTTGTGAATTCTGGTAATCTGGATTTCGGGAATCCCTGTTGTTTACTCTTTTCTGCTATGAGTTTTTCTATTTTCTTCGGCCAACCGCCTTCCTTAGAGTAGATTGGGTGTGAGTACAGTCCTCCCTGAAATTATTCGACAGTAAATGAACATTTTTAATAATTTGAATTACACTTCTGAAGTATTTAGTAACACTATTATTTTTGGACACTTTTTGTTATTTTATTCACCATTAACTGTAGAGCCAGTTCAGCCGCTTCTCCTTCATTTTCATCATCTCCCTTAAACCACATGACTTGATTGGTGATGGACACTTTGCCTTTAAAATATAATGTTATACATTTGCATATGAATGCAGAATTAATTCAGAAGAACCTAAAGATTTTATTAATTAACAAAAAATCAAGTACCTAAAGTATTTTTTATAAATTCATATAATTCTTTTACCTTTATATTTTCGTCTAAACTCCTTGTCATATATCCGCCAAGCTTTAGCGTGTGCCAACATTGTGTTCTTGCTGCAGATATAATTTCCAACTCCAGTGCTAACTATTCCTGGAGCGTGAACTCCAAAAGTGTAAGCAACGTCACAAAACGTCAGCGGTTCATTGAGAGTGATCCAAGTTTTGACTCGGTCAGCGTATAGAGTGAACACAACACGAGCGTAGTCCGCAAACCAATCTGATGTTAAAGGATTGGTCCAGCCGCCTGTGAATTATAACTTGGGCTAACAAAGATTTCATATAGTGCTACAAGCTTGTGTGGAATGCCCTGAAAGGTGAGGATTCTTATTGATGGACATTTAATTTACAAGATTTACTTAAGGTTCCTGATTTATAAGATTAGAATTCATTAATATTTATTCATCAATATGATTTGCCGTTCTAGGTTTTCATTTAAAGAAATCATTTACAAAGAACATGTTGTTACTGAAAAATATTAATTTAAATGGGTTCTTCAGTTTTATCAGGAAAGATGAACTCTTTGAACTTATATAATTAAAATTTATAATAAATTATTTTGAAAACAATTGTTTTGTTTTATTATTTATTCTATTTTATATAGTGAAGAAGCAATGCATTTGTATTTAATACTTTTGGCAATCTCTGAAACTCACCAAGATCTTGTAAATTTTGTGCCAAATCCCAGTGATATATTACAACGACAGGCTCGATTCCTCTCTTCAATAAAGCATCTATAAAGTGGGAGTAATATTTTACTCCGTCTTCACTCGTCTTATTTGTAAAACCATGAGGAAAATTTCTTGGCCAAGAAAGAGAAAATCTATAAAAAAATATATACACAAATTAGTTATCATAATAAAAATTTAGACTAATATTCCGTAATAAATTATTTACTAACCAACTATAATTATTATTATATATGAAAAGTTAATATTCAATCGAACGGAAAGGGATCGCGTATTGGTACATTTTTTCCAAGTTGCTTGGAACGTTCTCCCACTGACCACTCGTGTCATACATCTGGATGGCACTTTTAATAATGGAAACAATATACCATACAACATCATGTCTACAACATATATTTATTTTCATTAGACCTAGAGGGTAATGGCATTTTTTAAAATACGCTAGCTAATTTTAAAGCGCGTTGTGCTAATAGAGCTCACGGTTCCTTTGGAAGCCAACATTTCGAAAGACTATGTGATCATGGTCGACAAGTATTACAAGCTCACTAAAAAACTCACTAAGAATAGGTTCGTGGTAAATTTGTATCCTATAGAAGTGCAGAGAGAGGTATGACAGCCAATTCTCTCTACATCCTACTAAAAGACTAGAGCCCGTTCTGAACTAATATCAGTTCATTAGAACGTGCGTTGAAGGCAGCCCTAGTAGGTTCGTTTCAATTTTGGCTAGGTTTTGAAAGGAGCTTGGACGGTGTGAGTGAGGGGGTCCCTTAAACCTACACCTGGGTCCCAAGTCCCAGGAACTGTTGAAGTTCCGCTCCTGCAACGCGATAGACCTAATTGCCACACAGTGAATCTATGAAACAATAACAAGTTTGGTTTCATATCAATAGACGCATCGTTTTCCCTAGTGGCTCTCAAAGGCTTGTATGTAGTAGGTCTGTCAACCGCAGCATCGACTCATACTGAGACGCTTCCTGAACGATGTTTAACAGCGATTTAGGAAAACCATATGTTTGTTCTATGCATATAATTAAACAATGTATATTTCAATATTTTAGAGTATTACCACCAGTAAGGATACATAGATATAGCTTCACCTGTATCTGTATCTGTATATAAATTTGTTCAGTCTTTCTAAAGCGCCCTTCCTGTCGTAATTGTTGAGCGAGTGTCAGTAAATATCTGTCTGTCTTCTTCTGCCACATGTGTAGCGGCAACACGTAGACCTTCCGACACTTTGCCCGCGGCCTTGTACGCTCTTACACATTTCTCCGCCATGCCACAGGATATGAGAAGTCGTTCCGCTGTATCCCATTCCTGTAAATGTTTGCAAAAATAGATAAATATAATTAATGAATATTAATTGACATATGAAGCCTACTAGAATAAAATAAAAATCGACCATAACTTTGAATTCAAAAAATTGAATAAATTGATCGTGAAGTTAAACCCGCGTATAAAAGAAGAAATGAATAATTGAAAACATATTAGTTTACACCCTTAGTGGATGTTTACATTTATATTTTTGCAACTATACATACATACTAATAAGGAATCAACAAAATCGAATTACGTTAATAACAATTATAAAAAAAATAATAACAACATATTTCTTTTGTTCATTAATATAAGAATGAAGTAAAAAAAACTTACTTGAGAAGATATAAAAAGATCCCCCAACTGTTCACTTTGCTCCCGAATAGATTCTTTATCTTCTATAACCTAAAGATATCAATGGATTGATTTACAAAAAATATATATAAAAAAACAAAACCTTTATTTATATATTATTGGAATCTCGGTATCGGCTCAAACGATGGCGATAAATCGATCTAGCTAGGAATAATTATCATCATTTAGAAAATGTTATTTTACGTCAAAAAAGAATAACAAAAATTTGTCGTTTAAAATATGACTCTTCCTGACATCTAGTGGCGAATAGTGATACTACTTTTTGCTACTTGCTTTTACTAATTGCTTTAAAGACACAACAGCAGATGGCGTTGCTAAGCACCAGGAAGTCAATGAATGTTTGTTTCGAGGTTAGACTAAGAAATTAATTTTGATTTATATTGTTTTCTATCTTCTTAACGTGTTGAATTAAAAATGCCTAAACGAAATTAAAAGAACACACAAAATAAAAACTAATAATTCCTAAACAGCCAGCAAAGCTCGGTAAGCACATATTATTAATAATACCTGTACAATGTGTGTGTATGTGCTTTCAGAGCTGCAGTGAGAGCATCAACGGTTCGAGCAGCCTCTATGAGATGAGGTACAGCGGCGCCCGCCTGTCGCGATGATACAAGCCACGCGCCCCACTCTCCTTCAGGACAGGCCTGAAGAACAAAAAATAATGTAATAAAAATTAAAAACAACATTTATAATAAACGACACTGACTTCTCCTGCGTAGTTGTTGCCTCTAGAATAGTAATCAACAGCAGTTCTGATATCACCTTTACGCTCGGATATTTCACCAGCCATTTCCCACCATTCCTCCTACAAAGGAAACAAATTGTAAAGTTCATAATGTATGTCTAAGTATTAGTGAAACTTAACTTTTTAAAATGTATAGACGTATGCAGAAGTCACAGTATAAGAATAAATAGTTATGTTTGTGACAGTTATATTCATAAAATTAACTTTTATTCTTTTTTAGTTAAATGCATAACAGTCATGTTTATCTTGCATCAATCGAACTTACATGAAACATCAACAACAGTATGATCAATAATAATAATCAATGATACTAAATCAAAAAATCTAGTTGGTAATTTACACCAGTATTGATTCCCGCAACAAAAGAAGCAGGATCTTCTAACAAATACAACATGACTATACTTAGTGAGACCATCAAGCGATATTCTCTTAAATAGGTAGATACTTCAGTAGCATTTTTATTTAGCTATCTGATAAAGGAGCCATTTAGTGCAGTACTTTATTTTTTTTGTGTATCTGATAATGCAACCTTCACCTGTACTAGTTGATCGTGTGGGGTGATGTAACAGAGCGTCACCCACACACGAACCGCGCCTCGCCGAGACGACCTGTACCGACAAAATAATACTTTATTAGGTCAAATAGATTATTAGTATTATTGTAACGAACACAATGTATATATTATTAAATATATATGATATAAGTTATCATTTTTGCACCTGTTGACGTGAGATAGTCCATGTATTGCTGCCTGAGTGATGTCACCGCTTGTCTATCGACTCTTCCAGCGAGGCCGATGGCATTTGCCCATCCATTGAACTGCTTGTACATATTAATGACCAATTCTGGCTGAGCGGCTCCACGTACGTAGTATTCTTCGGCGGTGGTTAAGTCCCCCACAAATATTGCTAGACGTGCACGAACCTCGGGACTCTTTAAACCTATGCATTATATTATAATCACGATTAATAAAATAAATAAATTTTACTTTCTAGTTGTTTGTTCTTCATGCACTGTATTTAAACTAAAATGTATTTAAACCAAAATGTTAACTTTGTGATTACATGCACTCTGTTAATATTTCAGCATGAAGTGGTTGCCTGTAACTGAGGTTGCACATAGCATCTTAATTGTATTAATTTAAAAATTTGTATTTGTGTATACTTTGTTGGCGATCCAATAAATAAATAAATGAATACTATTAATACAATAAGTGCGTCCAAAAAAAACTAGATACATGAGGTGTACCCAAATCGTGTAAATGCAAAAAATACCTTCATCATTACTCCCGTTCCCTTTGGCTGAAGCTAACTCGACAGTTTTCTTTAGATAAAATATTCTAGCCTCATCACCTACTGCTTTATAGCATTTCGTCGCCAACTGAAAAAAAGATATATCTCTTATGAGGTACTAAAACGTTTAAATGTTATAACATATATTTAATAATAATTGATTATTAAATATATGTTATCTCTAATTTGGGCAGTGAGGAATATACCACCACAACTGAATGGCCTAACACTTAACCAAACATAACTGTTGTTATGTAATTAAATTATGTAGTTAAACATAACTGTTGTTATGTCAATGTAAAGGAAGTTATCATAAGTTTGAAGTCGAATAATATTTTTTATTTTATTACGTTTAAATTGAAATGCACATTATTTATTTTCAAACCATAATTTTAAGAGATCTTTAAACTGCTTTAATTTTTACATAACTAGTTAAAGCGCTTTATGTAGGAAATAATAACATTGGGTGTTTCGACGTAATATTGACAAAGTTGTCATCATAGATAATACACTATATTAGAAATTGGTTGTCATGAGGTCATAATGTCATACTACTTTACATTCAATATTTTCATTCTCTATGTTCATACTTTTTAAGTAGTGGATAAATTCTGTGAGTGGACGGATGGATTGAGGACAAAACCCAGTAAATGTCATTGTCTGTGTCTTGGTAGGCGGAATACAAGATACACCTCATACGATCTGGGACTATCGTTAGGCGGTCAATGAATTTCTACGGTTACGGAAAATGCACGATTTAAATTTCTCGGTCGTAAGATTGATAATATAGGCCGTACTCCATCTTTAGAAGGGATAGTAGATAGCTTTTTGAACGATCTTAACAAGGTAGATAGCCAACTGATCAGTAACGTTAAAAAAGCGTGGATCTTCGATAATTACTTAACTTCACGTTTGAACTGGCCTTTCCTCGTCTATGATTTTAATAAAACCCTTTTGTCAAAGTTGGATGCAGGCGTCATAAAGATGTTGAAGTTGTGGCTCGGGCTCGCTCTAACGGCTGATTCATCGGCGTTATTTAGGGGAAGCAATAGTTTTGGGATGAGTCTAAAAAGGCCATCGGAGCTCTATAAACACTTAAGAGTTTCCAAGAGATATATCCTGGGGAAATCCCATGATGACGTAGTGACATCGCTCCCAAAAGATGAAGATGCCCCCGAGCTAGAGTCACGACTTCAATTCCATAAGCAATTTATGATAGGAGCACAAAGTAACAGAGTGGGATTAGGATCAAATAGGAAAGTCCAAGATGCGGATATATTGAAGACTTTTATTCGGCAAGACGAGAATGATAAATATAAGATCCATGCAATGAATTTAGAAATGCAGAACGAGTGGTTAGAGGTGAGTGGAGATTTTTGCATCCCATTAGCATGAAAATGGCGCACTTTAATTTATGATTGGTCGCCAGCATTGCTAAAATTCTATCTCAATGCGTTCCAGATGACTCTCCCAGATCAGAGTAATTTAGTAAGATGGGGTAAAAGTACCGAAAAAACTTGCTATATCTGTGGAAAGGCAGTTGGAACTGCTAAGCATCTGCTGGTGGGATGTAAGGTATTCCTGGACAGCGGTCAATACTCGCGTCGTCACGATAGGGTTCTAGAAGTCATACGTGAAGCGGTTAGTCTTTCGGTAGCCAGAGCGCAAAAGGAAATAACCACAAACGAACGATCAGTAGGTTTTGTGAGAGAAGGCACTAGGGTTACAAAATCAAACGTCAAGCCTTACTCCATCCTTAAAGCGGCGTCGGATTGGACTATAATGATGGACACGTATGAAAAACAATATAAAATCCCCGAGGATATTTGTGCGTCGGCCTCCAGACCGGATATATTTTTGTTTTCGTGAATTTTAAAACGCGTAGTGATGATAGAGCTTACGGTCCCTTGGGAAACCAACATCCCCAAAGACCATACCATCAAGGTCAACAAATATTACGAGCTCACAAACGAACTCACTCGAAATAGGTTCGTAGTAGATTTGTACGCGGTAGAGGTGGGAGCGAGAGGTATAACAGCGAAATCTCTCTACAACCTACTAAAGGACCTGGGCTTGTCCAGAACTCACATTAATGCATTCTTGGAAGGTATATCGAAGGCAGCCCTAGTAGGTTCTTATCAAATTTGGTTAGGTAGGGAGAGGAGCTTGGACAGTGGAGGTGAGCGTATAACGCGCGTTAGTTAAGGGGCCCCTTAGGCCTCGGCCTCGAATTTTGCGGGCAGCGGAGCGGCAGCGGCGGCGGCACGGAAACGCATACTATTCTCCAAACTAGCGGGCAGCGGGCACCGCTGTATTCGAGGGTCGGTCCATTTGATTATACGCGTAAGATCCTGCCGCTCCCGCTGCCGCTCCGCTGCCCGCAAAATTCGAGGCCGAGGCCTTAAACCTACACTTGGGTCGCAAGTCCCAGGCACTGTTGAAGCTCTTCTCCCTGCAACGCGATGGACCCGGCACCCGCACGGTGAATCCATAGAATGATGAGTAGTTTCGTCTCTGTTTTTTGCCCGCGACTTCGTCCGCGTTAATTTCGTCATTAGTAATATATGTATAGCTGACCGGGCGAACTCTATCCCGTCCTAAATAACCAGTTATTGGTATTTATTAAATTTTTCCTGTTTCAATCGAACAGAATGGTTGAAATAGAAAAGGGCTGATTTTAGAGTTTTCCCGGAAATGAATCATTTTTTTTCAGCTTTTAGAACTTATCTGAGCCTCCACGAACATTTCAAGAATAAGATAAGATAAATCCGTTCAGCCGTTCTCGAGTTTTAGTGAGACTAACGAACAGCAATTCATTTTTATATATACAGGGTGACTGGTGAATTACTATCGATACTTGAGGACGTGATATTTGACGATCATATATGACAAAATAAAAATTAATATAACATAAATATTAATAAACTTCTAAGTAAAGTGAACCAAAAGTTATGTAATTAATTACGCATCGTGTGAACACCCTACAGATTAGGTATACACACACACACACTCGCGCGCGGCGGTGTGGTGTTGTGTCAGCACGCCGCCGCACGCGTCCACACTTGGAACATTTGGAACATGTCCACAATTTATTTATTTATACGGAAATTTGGCCAAAAATTAAGTACCTATTTTTTTTTACATAATTCGAATGAGAATCGTGTACCGAGTATTCTCCTTAAATATTGATAGTAATTCACCAGTCACCCTGTATAAATGTAAATATTTTTTTTAATAATTGATTTACATATGTACTCTCTTTCCTTTATTTATGTAATCATTATGACGTGTCGGAAGCGTTCAGTTAATGTAATAAAAATAAAAGTATTGAATAAATAAACTCAAAAAATATTCACCCATACGTTAAATAATAACAGAATAATATTAAATATTCAACAGTACATACCGTCACACTACTATCGTACATCAGCTACATACACTTCTCTTCATAGAAGGTTTCCTCTCGTCCGCAGACCACGTCCTAACAGACGCTCCACCAACAGCTTCGACCCTCATCTTGAATTATATATTCTCACGAGTCCTGGAACGTTACAAATAATACTATTTCATATAAAGACTATCCACTTCCTAATAAATTATTATTGTTCATATTAAAGATGGCACATATTTTAGGATGTGGTCAAAGATTAGCAACAAAAAAGTTAAAATAAAAATAGTAATGAATTAAACCAAACTATCAAAATAATAAGCCTTCGCAAAATATAGCGTTTAGAAAATAATAATTTTCTTAAGACTGCGGTCCTCTACAAAGATTTGTTTGGATATCATTAACTTTACTTATCTTTATATTTTCAAAGTAACATATATTTCATGATCGATGGACAGACCATGTAGTGAAAACATACAACGGTAGTGAAACTATGAGTACTTTGATTGAGGAAGATGTTTCTGTAGGAGAGCTCTAAATTGTTTTAAATAAATTAAAATTAATTATCTTTCTATATATGTATAAAGACATACAGAGACAGTTACATCAAGGATTGTTTGAAAATAAAAATATAATATTTTATATTAATCTTAAAATATCCACAAATAAATTACACTTCATATCACTAAGAAGGTTTATAATTCAAATAAAACAATTCTTTATATATCAGTCTAGTTAGTATCATCATTAATAACATACTATATTATGTACAGAATTATTATTCTGTTTGAAATATTGGATTCCTACAAAAATTATAAATGTTTATACTTAAACTAAACACATAAATTGATTTTACTTAAAAAGTATAACACTATTAAAACACGTTAATAATAATCGATTATTCTAGAAAGACGCCATATGGATTTCATTATATATAATATCAACAGCACATGAGGAATTCTAAAATGAATGTGTCAATAACGGTTTACTCAATATAAGAGATACATTATGGAGAAATTAACAGTACATACCGTCACACTACTATCGTACATCAGCTACATACACTTCTCTTCATAGAAAGTTTCCTCTCGTCCGCAGACCACGTCCTAACAGACGCTCCACCAACAGCTTTGACCCTTATCTTGAATTTGTATATTCTTACGAGTTCTGTAACGTAACAAATGATTCTAGTTTTTATTATGAAGAATTAGAGAATAATTCAAAATATACTATTAAAATAAACTAGTACTCTTATCACTACAGATAATAAACACTAATATTAACCAAAACTAAAAATGTTACTTAATAAACTTTTGAATTAGAACGATATGTCAATATGTAATATTTTTTTGGGCGGTAGGCAAAGAAAACTACAACACTGTTCTGTGATTATAAGTTTCGATTTTATTATTTATTTTCATGAAAAGATAATAAATTACTTCAGTTTATTAAAGAATAAGTCAGATTAAATACTCACAAGTGTTATTCAAGCTTAACATATGCATTTAGTGCTAATTTAAATATTCCACCTGCACTGTCCTGCCAGCTAAGCAAACTTTGTGTTTATAAATTACATAATTAAACTTTTCACAAATCATGGCAAACTATTATAATGTGATTGAGTCACAAAAGGCACTTGAATCATTGTTGATGAAGAAGATGACTGAATTTGAGAAGCAGCTCAAGGCAAGTATCCCAGGAAGCAATGTCAGTGTTGCCGGTCTTTATGATGAATTCAGCTGCTTCAAGGACCATGTCTGGTCAATATTAAGCCTTTTGAGGCAACAGATCTCTGATCTCAATCAAGTTGTTGATAACATTGAAATGAGACACCGAAGAAAGTATCTGTTATTTAATGGTGTACCGGAGGAACCTAATGAAGATCTTTCAAATTCTATTTCTGATATCTGCAATAATAAGCTTGGTATAAGAGATGTAACCAAGGATAAGATTATTGCTTGTCATCGTCTTGGTAAACATTCTGAGGGCAAACATCGTCCCGTGCTTGTGAGGTTTGTCGACCTCAATCTGAAAACTGCTGTGTGGAAGAAGAAGGCTAGTCTTAAGGGCTCCTCCTTTGTGCTGTCTGAGTTTCTAACCCACCAACGTCAGTCGTTGTTCTTGCTCGCGCGCAAAAGATTAGGGATGAAGAACTGTTGGACATTAGACGGGAATATCATTGCTAAGCTTCCCGATGGCACCAGACATCGTATTGATACCGAGGAGAGCCTTTCTAAATTGACCGTAAATACCGATGTCACTGCTGAGGCACCTTCAAGCGGAAATCAGGACTCATCATCAGGATACAATTCCAAACCCAAGCGAGCAGTGAGGGCAAAGAAATAGTGTTCCTCATTTATTTATTTCTTAGTATTTTTTTCTTTTTTTAACGTTGTAGTTCCTCGTGTTATTTTATTCGAGTATTATGCTCTTTTGACAATATTGTTATTAATAACAAATCCCCAGAGCAATTTTGATATCGTTGCTAAGGTAAGGGTATTCTTTATTTATCATGTACATATTTAAACTATAATACTTTTTACTATTCACTTTAGCCGCTCTGGTATTATTGAATTGTAATTCAATTCATTTATGTTTTATTTGGTTATAATAACTTAGAATTTTCTTCGGTATTTGTATAAATTACATTGACGCTGACACTTGACATAAATAGTATCTTTCTCTATACTGACAGTTGTCAAAGATAATTGTAATAGATAATAAATTTAACGTGTCAACTAATCATATTATATTACAACTATATTTATTTTAACCTATGTAAATATATGACACTTTAATTTTTAATAATTTTTAGTCTTAGTAGATATGTTAGATATAGGTTTTCTATTGTAATATAAAGATTATTAGATTATGTACTTTGGTGCTGTTCGTAGAAATAATAATTAAGAATACCCTTGTTAACGGTAATTAAGGTCATTGTTAAGTCTACTGCTCTGGTCATTTAAAGTTTAGTGTGTAATTTTTTTTTTATTTCTTTAACTTTTTTTTATATTTATATATATATTTTTTTTGTTATCATTAGTATTTAATGATTAGTACAGTTTTAATGTAACCGTCAGCTGGCGGGACAAGCAGGAATAATTGTTATTATTCTTCTTTTTTTTGTTTTTTTTATATATACCTATTTTTTCTTTATTTTTTTTTTATACATATATATTTAAATCCATTTATTTAATAATTAATTTATCGTATACGTATTTTTATCTTATTTATAATATAATTGTAGTATTATGTCTGATACAGATGATGATGTATTTTTATCAGCATGCAGTAGTAGTTGTTCCTCGTACACAGATGGTGATTCTTTCCATGTTCCTGAGACGCTTGGGACTTTGCTATGTAGTACTTTTCTTAACTCTCCTAGCTCTTTTAATGTTTGTCATCTTAACACTCAAAGTTTACCTTCTCATTTCTCTGATTTTCTTGAAGCCTTTTCATACGCCCCTGTAGACGCAGTATT